TTTCTAGAATATCATCAATAAAAGTAACATAATACATAGATCCACCCAATAAAGATTTTCTGGTAGCCCCCCATATGTCAGAATACACATAATCAAGAATCCCTTCAGTTTTGTGCTTTCCAGTCATGAAACTAACTCTAGTATGTTTAACAAGAACACAAAACTTGCAAAAATCTAACTTGCAACTTTTAACACCATGCAATAAATTTCTTTTATGCAATTCGGTCATTCCACGTTCACTAAGATAAGCAAGACGCATATGTCATAGTTTTGTACTATCATCATATGACTCAACAGAATGAACTCCACCTATAACTGTACTCCCTAACAATTTATAGATATTTCATGTATTCATCTTTCATTTCATCTAACAATTCTAATGATTTCATATCCTCATCTACCTTAGGAATAAAACTATTCTTATGCAAAGTCCATAAGGAAATTAGATTCTTTTTCAAATCAGGTATATGTCTAACATCACATAATGGCCTATTTTTGCCCCTAGACTTTGATCTGGAATTTCGTTTTCCAGACCCCTCATTCTCTGACTTTCTTCCACTGTCTTGATTACCCTTAATACATAAACTATCAGCATGAGAGTTTTCCCCTACATTTTGATTCCGCTGGTTGTGAGTCAACAAGGTTGCAGTAATCTCTTCAACTTTTATTATTTCTTTCCCATATGTAAGAGTAGTCACCATGTGTTCGTAAGAGGAAGCCAATGAACACAACATAATCATTGCTCTATCTTTATCCTCAATATTCACGTCAAGTTAAGCCAAATTTGCAATTATTTGATTGAAGAGATTCATGTGTTGCGTCAGATCATGATCGTACTACATCTTCAGCCCATACGACATCTGCTTTAGATACATTTTATTCATTAGGGATTTGGACATAAATTAACTTTCTAATTTCTTCTATATTTTCTCCTAGAGATGATAGACTCATTACGTGATACATAACCTCGTCAGCCAAACATAACCGTATAGTTCCTGCCTTTCGTTGTTGTAGTTCTTCCCAATATTCCTCATTCATCGATTCTAGCTTTTGAGATCGTAAAGCTTTCAAAATCCCTTGATGCGCCAACAAATCCTTTACCCTCGTTTGCCATAATCCGAAGTTGTCATGACCATTAAATTTCACCACTTCGAATTTTGCTCCTGACATAGCCATCTCAATACGCTCTTGATACCAATTGTTGGGAAATCAAGCTTAGTAACACATGAAATAAACGAACAGTAAATAAAATAAAGAACACAAGATTAAGCAGGTTCGACAAAGTACTTACGTCCTCGGGAGCGATGAGTGATTGTTTTCTTATTATTAACAATAATAATAACAATTAGGTTACAATTACATAATATAAAAGCAACCCCAGTACAATTACCAAAATAACATTGTATCGTACTGCAGACCCTCAACTCACTTAATCATATCCCACAAACTATAATGAAACTTCCCTAATGGACAGATGTTTGATCGTTACGTTCTCTCACTTCGCTCCAAGATCTGTCCTCCAACTGGTATATTAACCATACCTAACATTATAATTGATATAATTGTTATTGATTGACTATAAGTCAGAGGTCCAAATTAGCTAAAATGTCTATTTTTAACGGTAAGCAACTACATTGAAACCACTAAATAATTTTGTGGTTATATTGTCAAAATTAAAAGTATGATGGTCATATCGATACCAACTCTATAATTAAGTGATTATTTTAGTAGTTTATATTAAATTTTTTATGTGAAAGTTATATAATAGGGTAAAGTACAAAAATGCTCCCCGACTATATGGTACTAATTTATTAACTCCCTCGACTATTAAAAGTTATAAAATGATCATCCGATTATAGATTGTTACTTTGTGAGTCTCTTGACTATTAAAAGTTACAAACATGTCACTCGACTATTTATTATGTTCTAAACTCTCATTTTTTGTTAAAAAAGTAGTTGTTGTCTGAACTAGACGTTAACATGATGATTTAAATATAATAATCATTTGAAATTTTAATATTGGATTTCATCATATTATAATTAACAAGTTAACGTTCAACTCAAATTATCGTTAGATTTTTTATTAAAAAAAGAAAGATGAATTATGAACATAATATATAGTCAAGTGATCATTGCATAACTTTCAACAATCTATAGTCTCAATAGAGAAACACTCTATAGCCGAGGACCGAATGTTATATTATAATCTATGATATTTTACTATTATTATTATTATTTGACATAGAACTGATTCAACTCGTATAGACTAACTCTTTTTTTAAAAGTTTTCGGCTGAGGACCATTTTGTAGATATAATGTCGGTATCTGAATTTATGAAAGCAGAGATGACGCAAACTAACCAACATTAATAATCCAAGGACCCACCATGCCCCGCCCACGTTATAGTGAGACACGTTGCATTAGCTATAAGAACAGTAATATCGTAAAATTAATATAAAAAATATATATTTGACACGGATAGATGAACCTTAATAATAAAGAATTATTGTTATTTTTGTGATTTCAAGTTAAAACACTATGAATGATAGGATTTTTGTGATTTCAAAAATACTATGAATGATAGGATGTGAGTATTCAATATCAAACGATTATAAGTTATTTTTAAATAAATATTATTTTATATTTATTTAATATTAATAAAAATAAAATATATATTTGATATATTTACTTACTAAATTTAAGTATTTAGACATAAATACAATTTAATCTTCTTTTTAATTATTTAAAAATCATTACTACAGGTAATACATTGGAAATTTTCTTGGATCTTTGGTCGAATAAAACTAAAATTACTGACTAAAATAAAAGATGATTTGGAAATTAAAAATAACAAAAATATTATTATAATGACAAGTGACTAAAACAAAAGATTAATAAATAAATAAATAATTTATTTTAAAAATAGGGTAAATTATATATTTAGTAATTAAACTGTCCATTTTAATCTGTTTAAGTACTTAACTTTTAACTTTTTTTAAAATCATACCTAACATTTAGTTTACGTTTCGTTTTAATACCCGTGATTAAAAACTTAAAACGTTTAGTACATTAATTATCAGTTTTGGTCTATTTTAGTAATTGAACTTTCAATTTTTTAAAAATCTAACGTTAAATTTTGAACGGATACTAAAATAAAAAAAAACTAAACTTTAGATATAATTTTAAAAAATTAAAAGTTTAAGTATTAAAATATACCAAAATTAATAGTTTAGATATTATATACATCATTTACCCAAGTTTGAACCACCTATGTACCTTACAGCTATGGGCTTAATTGAGCCTTAAAAGCATTGATCAACTGTAAGAGAAAACATGGACTGGGCTGTGCAAAGTTCAAACTGATAGGTTTTGACAAGCAATTTCCGATCCCAACAGAAACTAGAACATTGGAATTCTGATAGAATTCGCCGTTTTCTTCTCCAATAAACTAAAAGCCCAAGTATGAGATCGCACAAACACACTCATTTAACATCCAGAAAAAAGAAGAAGAAAACAAAGAGATCTATCTACAAATGCCAGAAAACGCTGAAAAATGAAAGAAGGGATCTTACCTTATTTGATTAGCCGCAATGAGCAGCAGAGACAACTTGACTTGCAGAAAAGAAAAGCTAGAATTCGAGCAATGACTTATATTTCTGGAAGAAGATAAATCTGTATTCGATAAGTGGAAGTGAGGAATTAATTGGAAGAGAAGACGATGCCTTAGTTTAAGGCTTTGAATTTCAAAGCAAGAATCTGCTTTACTGCGCGTTTTTCTGAGGCGGTGGAATCTGAAACAGGGTGTTTTCCCACGAAGAATCAGAAATAGTGGGGGGGGGGGAACGCGGCAGGGGATTTTATTGGACGATAATGCAAATATAATCTTGGGTAAACTACGCATTTAGTATCTAAAATATTTTATTTTGATCCGTTTTAGTACATAAATTTTATTTATTTTTCTTAAACATGTCTATTGTTTAGTTTTTGTTTCATTTTAGTAACCCACCATTAAAAACTGAATGCATTTAGTACCTAAACTATCAATTTTGGTATATTTTAATACCTAAGCTTTTATTTTTTCCCCAAAATTTAACATTATATTTTGAACATGGTACTAAAATGAGACAAAAACTATATTTTACGAATGATTTTGAAAAAAAAAAATTTAGATACTAAAACGAATCAAAACTGATAGTTTAGATACTAAATATGTAATTTACCTTAGGAATTTTTTTTAAAATCTTAAGTTTAATAGGTTGATATTTTTGGAGAATAATATCTTCATTGTGATTCTTATTTGAAAGACTTAATTTAGATTTGATTACGAAAATAATATTTTTGATGTTGTGAATAGAATAAATTGTATAGAGAGGATCTCATATATAATAGATCTTTATGATTTATGATATATGATTTGAATTAATATATTAATGAATCGAATATTAATACTAAAAGAATATAAATATTTAAATAACGTTTAAAAACATTTGAATTTGATTATTAAAACAACTAATTAATTATGTATATATTTAAATTCATGTTTTAAAATAATTAACGGGTTAGTTCAAGTGATAAGCAATAAGATATGTTTAAGCAAGTTTCGAGTTTTAATTTTTGTAGACTCATCCACCAAAATCATATGTACGATACATAACGATCTAAATTAGTTATGACAAAATCCTAGAATCTGGAAAGCAACAAAAAAAACATATATTTTTAATATCTAAACAAGAAAAACACGTGTTTAGTACCTAAACTATCAGTTTTAGTCCATTTTAATATCTAAACTTTCAAAAATTTTTAAAATCATATCTAAGTTTTAGTTTTAGTTTCATTTTAGTATCTTTGTTCAAAATTTAACATTATTTTTTGAAAAAAAAGATATTGGAAGTTTATGTACTAAAACGGATCAAAACTAATAGTTTAGGTACTAAAATAAAACAAAAATTAGACGTTAGGAATAATTTTGAAAAAATTAAAAATGTAAGCACTAAAACGGATCAAAATTAATAGTTTAAGTACTAAATATATAGTTTACCCTAATTAAAATTATTTTTAAAACAAAGTATTTGGTTGCTTTCAGGTTTGAATCTATAATCTTTCCTATCTTACATCAACACCAGTTGTGACATCATTAACTTGATTACTTGCAAACCTTAACCTGCTTGCGATAATAATATGTTTTTCGGCACAATAAATACAGACAAAAACACTCATTAAAAATCAAAAGACAGCGGTTAAACATTTGCCGGCGGAGTAGCATTAGAAGACAGAGTTTGAGAGTTCACCCTTCTTCCTCGTTCACTTCTACTGTTATCAGCAAATTTCAAGCTGGTTTCATGCATGCCTTTGCCCTTCTCGTTCGAGCTCCATTCGGACATGTAGTAGTCTTCCTCGGTGGCGACCTTGTCCGATGACGGACCACAAAACATCCCTCCCCATTGCGGGAAGTATATGAGAAACAATGGTAAAGTGCAGCATATCATCATGATGCCCATCAGGGTTATCCCGTCTTCTTTGGAATATCTGGAGCCTTTGAAGAATATTAATTGTGTTAAAACTGCACCCACATTCCCTCCTCCTCCGGTCATCCCCGATATCACACCCAATGACCTGAACAAAAACGGAAAATCATTCCCACCGGTATGAATAAGAATTAATCATTACAAAATACGAATCCGAAATTGTACCTTCGGGAAACAAAGGGGACCACTCCGAATGTAAGACCGCAAGCAGCTTGAACAAAGACGGAGAAGACGATCATCACGGCGACGGACGCGCTCAATGATCCGACACGTCCGAGGATGATGCAGAAAACGCCTCCTAAAGTCTGCACCGTCCATAAGGTCCATAGCCTGCCCCTCATTCCGAACCTCTTAGCCATCATATCGGACAGGATGCCTCCTCCCGGTCGTGAAATGATGTTCGCTAAGCCGAAGCTTGCTGCGATGATTCCGGCTGTATGGAGTTTTAGGTTGAATCTGTCGTAAAAGTACTCGGCGATGATGTTGTCGATTGTCAGCTCCACGCCGAAACAATATCCGTATGTTAAGGCCAAGATCCATCCTCTGTAATTTGTGATCCCATGGTAGAACACACGTGAGAATTTGTCTTTTTGTTTGTTCCCGGATTTTTGTAGCTTTTGGTAATTTCCGTCCGGCAAATCCTGGCCGAAGATCAGGATGGCGAAAGCCGATAATGTTTGGAACAGGGCAGGGATGAAGAATGCGATTCGCCAAGCTGTGAATTTGACTGCTCCAATGTCACGGATGATACCGAAAACAACCGGCATGATGAGTTGTGTCGCGCCGCCTCCGAGGTTTCCCCATCCGCCTGCAACGCCGTTAGCGGTGCCGACCACCGGAGCTGAAAACATGGAGCTCATCCAGAATTGGGTTGAGACGAAAGTTGCGAGGGAGAAGCCAGTGAAAAAACGGACCAGGAGGAAGGAGACGGGAGAAGAGGCAATGGAGGTGAAGAAAACTGCCGGCGCGGTGAGGAGGATGAGGGATGCGGAAGCAAGACGTGGTCCGAACAAGTCACAAGCAGTTCCCATGGCAAGCCGAGCAAACACCGCGCCGGAGACCGACGCAATCCCCGCGTTTCCAATGTCAGTCGCTGTCAGGTTTAGATTGTCACGTATGATCGGAAGGAGTGGCGGAGCAGCAAAAGTGGACACAAAACAGGCAAAGAACGAAACCCAAGACAGATGGAACGATCGCATGTGCGGCGCAGCCGCGGAGAATAATCGAAACTCGGTCGCCTTATGCTCGGAATCCACCGGAAGAGCAAACTTCGGCTGAGTTTCGTCAATTCCGCTGGATATCTCCATCTCTTAACGAAAACCTCACTCTACCCTTTACTACTTTTTGATAGAAAACGCACTTTAAATAGCACTGAACTGCAGATTTCTTACAGCACCATCATGTTACTTTCGGATTCGATCAGATTTTAGGGAAGAAAATCGACATTTATGGATTTAAAATCAACATATTGGCCATTGAAAAAGAATACAAGCGGTATTTTCAAGATTGGTAAACTGTGACTTGGAGGACTGTAAGCTGAAACAATGGCTTCCCGAGGGTGAAAAGGCAACCTCCAAAGATCATTCGAACAACTTCCCGTTGCGCCGAGTCTCATTATTTAACCATCGTAATTCAAAGCTGTGAAATTTAAGCATTGTTTTCAGCTGCTGATGTGCATGAACGTACGATTTTTTTTATGACATAATGAACGTACGAAACTGGAGGAGGAAGAAAATTATCTAATTAATCATTGACTTTTGAGTTGGGGGAGGTTAAAATGGAGTGATGTGCGTTGATGGACTTGTTCGGAGATTCTTATTTTGACTTTTTCTTGTTCTTGAAATTACCTATGTACCCTCTTATTCTTAGATGAAACAATTAAGGCTTAATTATAAAATAAGTGCTCAAACTATATCGTTTTTGTCAAATAGGTGCCCAAACTTTTTTTTGAATGATCTAGGTGTCTAACGTTACAAATATTATCACTTTAGGTGTCATAGTCGTAACTGCTGTTAATTTTCTCTGTTAAGTGACACATGTCACATTCTATTGATTTTGTTTTTTTTAAAAAATATTATTATATTTATAGAAAAAACCTTAATTTCTCTTAAATTATAAAAAAATTCAAAAATCCCAAAAAAATCCTAAATCCCTAATATGTCATTGTTTCCCTTGTTGGCCACGACCACCGTCGTCGACGTAGTCTCTGCCATCTTCATAGTCATACGTCGCAACAGTTCGGGATCGCGTGAGGTCGTGATATTTATCCTAGAGTTCGTGGGGTACAAAACGTCGATTGGTTGCGATTACATAAGGTTATTGATCGTCAGGGGAGGTGAGATCGCGTGGAGCTTCGTTTACGGCAAAGGGCAGTGGTCGGTTTGGGTTTAGGGGATAAAATGAGGGTTTCTAAAGTTTTGGGACTATTTTCAAAATTTGTGCATTTTTTTAAATATAATTTTAATTTTAAATAAAACATTTAAAATGACTGGAATGTGAAACGTGACACTTAACGACATATTTTAACGGTAGTTACGATCCGAGTACCTAAAGAGGTAACGTTTATAACGTTAAACACATGGGTCATTAAAAAAAATTAGACACCTATTTAAAAAAAGGCATATTTGAACACTTGTTTATAATTAAACCAATAATTAATAAATTAAATATTACTACTTATATTAAAAATGTTTTCAAATCAAGATTGGGATATGGAGTGCCGTGCTCCACAATTTCATACTTAAATTAAAATTTGTCCATTTACCAAAAATCCAAGGTTATTACAACTATTATTATTCCTTATGTGCATGAACTTCTCCATTTTTGGTGGAAGGCGCAGTTTGGTCATTTCATCATTTATTAATGCATTAATCTATTGGGGAGGAATATTCAACGGATCCTACAGAATAATATACATAATTCTAAGAATATTCAATTCCGGATTAAAAAATTCCAAAAACCAGATGCCAAAACCTTGGATCCAACAACTTGCCTTCGCTTATGGAGTTGCCACTGCCACGTGGGTAATCCTAATTTGTTGCTCGAACCAGGATAGTCAAATTCAGCTACCAATCACAATTGACCCAACATGTTGGCTGTCGCCTAGCAGGAATTGATCCCGGGTCCAAGATCTGATATCTGGATCCTCCCGTTGAGTAATTATTACTATGGACTGTACCAATAGTGTTGAACAAAGCTGCCAAACAAGTCGAATCTAGTTCGATTATTGTTTAGTTCAACTCGAATTCGAAAAGTTTAAAATTAAGCTCGACTCGACTCAAAAACTCAAGAGTTAAAAATTATCAATCTCATCTCGAACTCGAAATATAATATTGAAATTCGACTCGAACTCGAAAAGTCTCGAACTCAAAAAAAATTTAGGAGCTAGATTGAAGCTCGAGACTCGAGCTCGATTGAAGCTCATTTTGAGCTCGATTCAAGCTCGAACTCAAATTCAAATTTGAACCTACAAAAATCTTTTATTACATTTAAAAATATATTTTTTAAAATTTATAACTATCAATAATATATTTTTAATATATTTTTAATAATGTAATTTTAAAAAATCTAAAACTATAATATAACATTTTTGAGTCAAATATTAAATAGATTATTTTAACTCGTTAAGAATTTGAGTCGAGTTCATTCAATTCAAGTATTGATCGAGCTTTAATCGAATCAATCTCGAATAACTAACAATCTATCTCACCTCATTTACATCTCTAATTGATTAATTTGTATCTTATTCTTACTGCTCGTTGGACTATTCGGCTGATATCATGTGTAAAAGGCGTTCTAGTTTTCACACTTTGAATCAATTATATAAAAGTAACAATCATTAGAGTTATTATACCTTTACCTACCCATTAAAGATCTCTTCTACAAGTCACCCTAAGTTATATATTGGGTAAACTATACATTTAGTACTTAAACTGTTAGTTTTAGTTTATTTTAATATTTAAATTTAAAATATTTTCATAATCATATTTAATATTTAATATTTATTTTATTTTAATACCTAAACTATTAATTTTGGACCATTTTAATACCTAAATTTTCAATTTTTTTAAAATTTAATGTTAAATTTTGAACAAGGTACTAAAATTTAATGTTAAACTTTGAAAAAAATAAAAGTTTAGGTACTAAAATAGACCAAACTGATAATTTAGGTATTAAACAAATAATTTTATTTTTTTTAATAAAAATTTACATCCTCCAATTTTTTAAATTTCTATCTTTTGATTTGTTACAATCTTATAAGATGATAATTGACAGATTCATATGATATATTAACAATAATTAGGTCTATTTATTATATTAACCCACATATAGCCATAATAGTTGTATGTCTAACAACAACACTATTATAAAGTCTCTTGCTCAAGACTAAGAGTAATTATAGAATCGTAATTAATCGAAAAATAACAATGAAAAGTAAGTAAAATCAATTTTGTTAAAAATTAACTGTCAACAATTTGATTGAAATTAAAAAAAATGGTTGTCCCTTTTTCCCATATGTATGGGGTAATACCGTAAGGGGGAGGTAAGATAGTAGGCTACCCCCAACACCAAGTTGAGAGCAGCTTCCGTAAAAGACCTCCGAATTTAGTGATTAAAATAAAATCACCATAATAATTTGGTGATTATAAAGATAATTTACCCAATAAAAGATACAAGAATAGATGAATATATAACTTGTAAACCCATAAAATGGAGTTAAACTGAAAACGGGGAAGGCTTGGGTCCGACTCATCTTTAACCTGCGAGAAAAAAGCTCAAGGGAAGACGTGTGTAAAATAACTTATGATTATGTGCCACGATGTTTTATGTTTCAATTCATTTATGCATGAATAGTAATTTCACTAAATTAATAAAAATATATTTATATATATTATATTTTAAATCATTTCGATTATTAATATGAAATTCGATATAGGAGTCAAATCATACCAATCAAATATCGAGCATCATATTTGATAGTGTTATTGTTTAGTGTTATGTAAGAATTTTATTTATGAGGAATTGGAATTTTTAGATGAATATGTACTATCATTTCAAAACAAAATCAAAACACAGATCCTCCGTACACACACATAGGTAGGGTGAACAAAACTCGACTTGAAAAAATCGATTTTTTTCAACTCGATTCGACTCGAAAAAAACTCTAATCAAATTGACTTCGAGTTGTAATTTCATAAACTCGACTCGAAAAAATTTTAAGTTCAAAAAGAGTTGTAAAATACAACTCAAATAACTCGAAATTTTTAGTAATTAGTGGATTTATTTTCAAGTTAGAGTCAAGTCATTCTACTTTGTATGATATATGTAAATCAAATATGAAAAAAATATGAAGAAATATATTTGTATTGTATATATGGTTATAGAAAGTTACTTAAATTAGAATCAAATAATATTATAAATATTTACAATTAAATTTAAACAAAAATTCGACTCGACACAAATTTTATAAACTCGACTCAACTCGAAAAAAAAATTTAAGTCAATTCCTTGTTGTAAAATAAGACTCAATCGAACACTCACCCCTAGAAACATACAACCAAAATCAATCCTATACACTATAGTGTCATAGACTTAACCTAGTTGGTTCGGTTGCTAATCCATGCGGCACTCGAAAGGGACGCTTCCCCACCAAATCAATCTTAATCTCATATATCTGATCAAACACAAACACGAATCGGGTTAGATCTTTGAAACAACAAAGTCCTTCGACCAAAGTCCTTCGAACAAAGTCTCCACACCATTGACTAGGCCGTAGGGACAGCCCTCGATGTTGTTTACAAGACAAATACCTTTACCTGTGAATCAACCCAAACTCTGTCGGCTGTCCACCCCTACATATATGCGAAAACAAAATAAAAAAAATGATATATATAGACATTAAAATGCTCGAACTGGAGACTGTATGTCCTACCCTCATTCCTTACATAAAACATTGAAATACTTGAAAAGAGAACAAGTTAATTCTACTTTGCCAATAGACCTTATACATGGTTGGTATTGACGTACCTCCCCTTACCCAATTGCATATGGGAGTAGAATTTTGTTGTTGTTGTACTGTGGCCCCCATAAAAGGGACCGCAACGACATTATAACACCCCTTGCAACAAAATAAAAAGAATAGTCAGCTTCCCAAAATCAAAGAAGAAAACCTACCACCAGAACCTGTAAACAAAATAAAAACAAAGCCCTCGAAGCAAACAACAAAAGAATAAGAAACTAAAACTATGCACCAGAACCGTCTAAGCCCCAAACTTCATAGAGCAAATTACTGTCAGGCCCCTACCTTTAACCTTCATACCATAAAACCTCATTCTCACCAACTCCTTTACCTGTAGAACTATATCCTCAACTGTAACAGACTTACCTTGAAATATCCTTTGATTACGCTCCTGCCAAATACAAGCCACCACACAATTCCAGGCCAACCTCAAAACGGTTGAGAGAAGAACCCTCCCTTTCAAATGGAGACAAGCCCAAAGGAACT